TAATGTAAACAGGTAATTAATAGAAAACATTTAAAAGGTCAATGAACATGGAAAAAAGTTCATCTTCACTAACAGTAAAAGAATGATATTAAAACAACACTTAGATACCATTATTATTGTTGTTTTTATTATTATTAATTTGCTTCTCATATGTGGGGTTACTGAAGGTGTTGTTGGACTGTAAATTAGTCCATTTTTAGAGATAAATTTGGCAATACCTATTAAAATGTAAAAAACATACTATTTGAGCAATGTCAATGCTAAAATACTATGCAGCAAAATAACAGTATTTCAACATGTGTGCATGCTTAGTCAAACTTTGAAAACAAAATAAATTATTATCAGTAAGGTAATGAGATATTCATTGTATGGTTATAAGGAATGGAGTGACTTCTTATGAACCTTACCTTGGAAGATGTTTATGACATGTTAAGTGAAAAAAGCATGTTATAGATTTCTAGCCAAGATGGAGGTGTAAGTAGATACATTTTGCCTCCTCACACAACCAAAATAAGAACAACAACAAATTTAGAAACAAAAAAATACCAGAACTGCCAGAAAATCGAACTGTATGGAAGTCCCACAACCAAGGACTTAAAGAAGAAACATTCATCCAGACCAGTAGGAGGGACAGAGATGGGCAGCCAGACTAAAGAAAACTCACGGCAAGTGGGTGGCTGGAAGACCAGTTGGTCCTATATTTGCATGTGAATAAACCGAGAGGAACAACTGAGGAGTGAGACAGACTGCACAATGCAGAGTCCCAGTTTGGGGAAATAAAGCCTCAAAATCTCTGACTGAAAGAACTTGTGGGGGTTGAGGTGGCAGGAGAAACTCCCAGCCTCACAGGAGAGTTTGTCAGAGAGACCCACAGGGTCCTATAATGTATACAAACCTACCTACTTGGGAATCAGCACCAGAAGGGCCCCATTTGCTCGTGGGTAGCAGGGGAAGTGACTCAAAGTCAGCAGAAAGCTGAGCAAGCGTCATTGTTCCCTCTCAGACCCCCTCACCTACATACAGCACCACAATGCAGCGGCCTGGATTGCCCTGCCCTGGCAAATACCTAAGGGTCCACCACTTACTATGTAATAGGCGCATTGAGACAAAAAAATATGGCCCTAGTGAAAGAGCAGATCAAAGCTCCAGAAAAAAAATACAAGTAAGCAATGAAGAGATAGCCAACCTACCAGATGCACAGTTCAAAACACTGGTAATCAGGATGCTCACAGAAATGGTTGAGTAAGGCCACAAAATAGAGGAAAAAGTGAAAGCTATGAAAAGCGAAATAAAGGAAAATGTACAGGGAACCAACAGTGAAGGGAAGGAAACTGGAACTCAAATCAATGGTTTGGACAAGAGGGAAGAAATAAACATTCAACCAGAACAGAATGAAGAAAGAAGAATTCAAAAAAATGAAGAGAGGCTCAGGAACCTCTGGGACAACTTTAAATGTTCCAATACCCAAATCATAGGGGTGCCAGAAGAAGAAAAGGAAGCAAGGAATTGAAAACTTATTTGAAAATATAGTGAAGAAAAACTTCTCTAATCTGGCAAAGGAAATAGCTAGAGAGTCCCAAAGAAGCTTGATTCAAGGAAACACACACCAAGGTACATCACAATTACATTACCCAAGATTAAAGGTAAGGAGAGAATCTTAAGAGCAGCAAAAGAAAAGGAGACAGTCACCTACAAAGGAGTTCCCATCAGACTGTCAGCTGATTTCTCAAAAGAGACCTTACAGGCAAGAAGGGGCTGGAAAGAGGTATTCCAAGTCATGAAATCCAAAGACCTACAACCAAGATTGCTCTATCCAGCAAAGCTATCGTTTAGAATGGAAGGGCAGATCAAGTGCTTCCCAGCTAAGGTCAAATTAAAGGAGTTTATCATCATTAAGGCCTTACTATATGAATTGTTAAAGGGACTCATCTAAGAAATAGAAGAAGATCAAAACTATGAACAGTAAAATGACAACAAACTCACAACTATCAACAACTGAACCTAAACCCCCCCCCAAAAAAAACTAAGCAAACAACTAGTACAGGAACAGATTGACAGAAATAGAGATCATATGGAGGGCTATCAGCTGGGAGGGGAGGGAGGAAAATGAGGGAAAAGATATAGGGAATAAGAAGCATAAATATTACATACAAAATAGACAGTGGGAGGCTAAGAATAGAATGAAAAGTGGAGAAGTCAAAGAACTTATATGAACAACCATGGACATGAACTAAGTTAGGGGAATGCTGGTGGGAGAGGGGGTATAGGGAGGAGGGGAATAAAGGGGAGAAAAGAATGGGACAACTGTAATAGCATAATCAATAAAATATATTTAAAAAGAACATGTAGAACAACATATACATTATGATCTAATTTCTGTAAAAATTAAAAAGTATGTACATGTGATATATATGCATGCATAAGCCTTAAAAGATCTGGTAGATAAGAAGCAAAATGTTTAGAGTAGTTTTCTCTGAAGTGTGGGATTCATGTCTTCTTTCATTTGTTCATTCATTCTTTCATTCATTCAGCAAATGTTTCTTGAGTGCTTACTAGATGCTAAGCACTGTTTTAGACACTGTGGATACAATAATAAAGTGGACAAAATTCCTACCATTCTAATTCAACTTACATTCTAATACAGGGAGACAGACAACAAAGAAATAGACAGTATTTTAGATGGTTATATGTTCTATGGAGAAGAATAAAGTAGAGAAGGGAGGTGGGAAGGCAGTTTGTGATTTTAAATAAGCGGGATGGAAAGTGTGGTGGGAACATTTCACTTTTTTTCAATTTATTGTTGTTCAGTTACAGTTCTCCCACCTTTTCCCCCATTGCTCACCCCTACCCCATCCCCTGCTACTCCCACCATCAATTCTCCCCATTGTCTGTGACCATGAGTCCTCTATTTGTGTTCCTTTGCTTGTCCCTTCCCCTTCAATTGTAGGATTAATGAGTGTTTTTCTTTCTCATTTAGTGGGTGATTATTTTGTATATTACAATTAAATAGTATGAAAAGAAGAAATGTTTTAACAGTGGAATTTCTGACCTGAGATTAGGGCATAAAATTTGAGACTAATTTATTTTTTTTCTTCCCCCATCTTTGAAAAATGATCCCTAAATATTCATCCCTGGCTGCAGAAAATAACCTACTGTGTGAAATTCTCAGTTTATTTTCCTCACTTGTTGGGCATATTACTGGTACATCAACTGGTGTGTCCTTTTTGTTCTTTTCCCTCCAAAGACTTACATTCTTAGTTGTTTGCCTAAGGGCATTTAAAAACTGGTTTGCATTTCTGACTACAAACCTATATGGATATGTGATAAAATGCAAAATGCTTATCGGTGTGGGGTTAATCCCATTAATTCGATAGGGACCCTTATTTTTTTAGTTCTCCCCATGAGAGAGCAAGGGACTCATACTAAAAGACAGAAATTAAGACTTTTGATGGCTTTTAAAGTCAACCAAATTGATTGCAAGTTCTTGGACTTGGGACCAAGTCTAAAAATGTTTTTTTAAATCCCTGTTTTGTGCAAGGTCTGTGATGACTAAACTGGTGAGTCCTTCCATTCCCTTTCCTGGCTGGTCCCTTTAGCTTCTGAGAGACTTTTAAGGAGTGTGGAGAGGAAGGGGGAACAGTGATTTTTCATCTGCAGGCAGAATAAAGGAAGTATAGGTAGAACTGCCACAGAAATATTTAAAGTCAAACCTGAGGTCTACATTCTGGATATCTGGTTTGGGATGTACAGGAACAACCACCTGATTTCCTCATTCTGGAATCAGCTCTGACTGGTGCTGGGATTTGTTTCAGGAGTTAGTGGGAAACCTGATACATCTTCACAATGAAATTTACCAGGAGCTTCTTTAGGTGCTTCATTCCCTTTTCCATTAATAACATCTCTTAACTTTCCTGTTCCCCAGTTTTCCGAATGATAATGGCCAGAGCCGTCTGTGCCACTCTTACCATCTCTAGGAGGTTGAGAACATATGAGAGAAAGGAAGATTTGTTTCCTGTGTAAGCAAAACTAAAGCTCTTTGGAATTATATTAGTAGCAATCCTTTCCAGCCAGACACTGTGTGAAGGGGCCACACACTGTGTCACTCTTTCTCCTCTTAAACAGTCTCCTTGAAACTGTTAGGACAGATATTATCCCTGTTTTGAGCCTGTGCTCTGGTGAAAAGATAGTAGAGACTAGTTTTATAACTCCTGGTCAGGTGCTCATTGATTTAATCAGAGAACAAGGAAGTCAGTTTTTAAAAAATTGATGTTTTAATCATTTTTTCATTACCATTTAGTCCCCTTTGACCCTCTTATCCCCGCCAATTGCCACACTGTTGTCCATGTCCATGAGTCCTTTTTCCTCAATCCCTCCCCCTCCAGCCTTCTCTCTATGAGTCTGTCTCTACTATTGGTTCAGATTGTTCACTAGATTCCACATATAAATGAAAACACATGGTATATATGTTTGAGCTTATTTCACTTAGCATAATTTTCTCCAGGTCCATCCATACTGTTGCAGAGAGTAAAACTTCCTTCTTTTCTATGGGCCGAGTAGTATCCCGTTGTGTAAATGTTCCATAGTTTTTTTCAGGGGGGGGGGTCTCGGTTACCTTTTATTCCCATGTGTTTATTAACAGCTCATGGGTTGACTATCCATAATCAATGTATTATTCACCCGATATTAAATCACACTACTAAAAAATGAGGAGCAATACATTGTCTTAGTTAATTCGTGTTTCCCTAAATACTGTGAATGCCCCTTTCCTGCCCCTGAGAAATTACCCTCCTGTCTAAATTCAGAGCTCTCTTTTAACCTCTTCTTATCCCCATCCACTATATTGGACTACATCTACCATTGTGCAACGGGAAACGTGCAGCAGTCCTCCGTGATCCGGTGGAATGTTTAACCAATCCAATGCCAGAACTCTCATTCTGTGACCTATTGACTCTGGGTAGAGGAGGGACTCTCAGTTGCCGGGTTAATACCCTTTCCGGAAGTGGTTGCGGGCCGCTGCGCGGCAACACCAGGCGTCCCTGGAAGCGGGAAAGCTAGGAACCCGGGTGGTGCTGGGGAAGCTGCGCAGACCCGGGAACCCTTGCCCAGAACTTTCCGGGGTGAGGGACAGGTGAGGACGTCCGTGAGGGAGGGCTTGGGTGGTCAGGAAAGGAGGGAAGCGGGGGAGTCGAGGCACTCCTGGAGTGCCAACGAGCGGGATGTGCACGAGCGTGGGCGGGAACTGAAGAATGAAGTGAAAAAGTAACGGCTGGACTAGTGTGCTTCCATCCAGAATCTCTGCGAGTGGTGAAAGGGACCCTAGGCCAATTGCTGGCCGGGCAGTGATTCACCTGGAGGTTCAGTTACCATCTATTTAATGGTGACTCCCCACACTGGCTCCGGCCAGACTCCTGAGGTCAGACTCGCTTACTGATCAACCTTCCCGGTCGTCCAGCTCTGTTCCTCCTCTTGTAGTTCCTGTTTCAGTGACGGACTTCATTCACTTAGTCAAATCTGCACCTGAACTTCATCTAATGTGTGCAGTAAACATACTTGCTGGGTATTTCCTGTAGTCTGGGCCCTATGCCAGGTGAGGCTGTTGGGCAGGATGTAAAAATGAAAAGGTAACAGGGAACAGGATACTGGCTTAAGTGCTCTGATTTGCCACCTCTCCTTCCCTCACTTGCTGTAGACATCAGGCCCTGTTATTCTTCTCCTAATATCCATCATAAGCCCTTCCTTTCTATTCTTACAGCCACTAATTTCATAATTTCTTGCCTGTGTCTTCAGGATAATTTCTTAAGTGGTTCCTCTGCCTCCATTCTTGCCCTCCTCTAATTAGTTCTTGCACATCTGTCATGAAATCCTGTGATGACTCCTCATCATGTACATGATACAGCCTTTTATAATGTGCACCTTGCCTTCCATTGTAGATGAAAGCCACCTTCTCTGCCACCTTTCCAGTTGTCCATTGCACTCACTCTGGTTGTGTCAGAGTGGTTATATCTCAGGCTTTGGAGTCACATAGCTGTGGCTATATGCATGTTTTGCTGTGTCATTTACTACCTGTGAGACTTTGGACAATGTGTTTTTAAACTTTATGAGACTCAGTTTTTTTATTTGAAAAATGGGGAAAATAATCTTCCTAGCTAAGAGGATAAGATGAGGTGATGTATTTGTACAGTTTGAGGAACAGAGGAACTTTAAACTTAAAACTTACACTCCCTCTGTTCAGGGAGTATAAGCTTTTGTTGTAATGAATTCTCTGTACTCGCCATATTCTTTTTCTTCTCCTTTGCCTTGTACATGTTGTTTGTTCTGCCTTCAATTCCCTTACTGCCTTATCCTGGTTGGTGCACTTCTGCATATCCTTCAAGAACCATTTCAATGGTTGTCTTATCTGTAGTGCTTTCCCTGCTCTTCCAAAATAAGGTTAGTTGCTTTGAGTTTTGTGTCCCATTGTATTTTGTTACTTCCCTTAATGTGGTTAACATATTATATAGCCATATGTTTGTGTGTTTGGCTTCCCAGCCAGGCTACGCTGGAGTTCAAGCTCATGTGTAATCAGGTTTGCAGCCCTAATATGAGCACAGTGCCTGCCTGTGGTCGGTGTTCAATAACTGGCTACGGAGTGTGTGAATGGCCTTAACTTATATTCCTGCATACTGGATCTGTCTTCTGGAACAACGCAAAATAAGCCTTTTAAGAATGTGAATTGTAGCCCCGGCTGGTGTGGCTCAGTTGATTGAGCATTGTCCTACAAACTGAAGGGTTGCTGGTTCGATTCCCAGTTGGGCACATGCCTGGGTTGCAGGTTAATCCCCAGTTGGAGCACATACAGAAGGCAGCTGATCGATGTTTCTCACATCGATGTTTCTCTCCCTCCCTTCCCCTCTCACAAATCAAAAAATAAAACAGTAAAAAATTTTGTAGAAGAATGAATAGTAATAACAACTGATATTTATTTAGCTCTTAATATGTTTTTTAGTATTTTACATGTATTGAATCATATAACTCACAACCCTTTGAAATAGGTGTTGTTATTATCTCCATTTTACAGATGAGGAAACAGGCATCCTACTCAGCTGGTAGTGGTAGAGCTTGGATTAATTAAATCCAAGAATGTTCTAAAACATGTGCTCATCGCCACTACAACTCTATCTTCTGCTTTCTCCCCAAAGCCTTCTTCAGTAAATTTTTTCCGAGTTGAACCTTCTTTATAATTGTTCAAGAAGGGAGGAAGAAATAAATATGCAGGGATCCCTAATCATGCATATGCGTGTATATGCTTTGTTCATGTTCAGATGTCCAAAACTTTTTGGCTATGCTGACAAATCAGACAGCATTCTAGGAAGGTTACCATAATATGGAGGAATTGGGGAACATTGGCATGTATTGAATCAGAAAGGGATACTTAGCTTGGAGTGGGGAAGCCTTGGGTGCTCTCTTTAGGTCCAGAGGGAAGAACAGGCAAATGGGAGGAAGTTTCTAGAAACAGATTTTTGGCTTACTGTGGGAAAGGCCTTTTCATAGTTAATTATTGGCAATAACATCAGTTTAACATGTATTGTGTACTAGGGACTGTGCTAGGTACTTTATAAGAAGTACCTCATTTAATCCTCAAATAACTTTTTGTTGTAGATTGTTTCTATTATACACATGTGGTTATTGAAACCTTGAGAAGTGAAGGACCTTGCCTAATTTACCTAAGGTCGTGCCGCTGGTAAGCAAGAGAGCTGGGATTTGAATTCAGGTGTTTATCGCCCCAAAGCCGGTACTTAGACCAGTGTCCTGTGTGTCCCCTGATGCATAGAGAGGAAAAATATGGCATGGGAGGGATAGTTAGACCAAAGTTCTTACAGGATTTTTTTTTTTTTTTTACTCTTGAGACTCCTTGGTTCTGTGCTAATGGTATATAATAGAGACAGAGCTCCTACAGTTTATATACCTTATTTTGTGCTTGGTCAGAAAATGCAGAGGATGGAGGGGCCATGGCCCTCATAAGTTTGTGGTTTAAGAAGAGAGGTGGAACACATGAAAAAAGTAGTATTAGGAGTAATATGCTTATGAACATATGAAAACTGTGTTCTTACTGCTGAGGAGGTTATGAGTTGATGGGAGGGGCTGAAGTTAGCCAAGGAGGCCTTCCTGGAGGAGGTGTATGAGCCACTTTTAAAAAATTTATTTATTCTTGGCTAGATTCTGGGATTGGCAGGAGATGGATGAGTGCGATTGGATGACCCCTCCCCTACAATTGTTATGGCTCATAGAAGATCTCAGGCCTGGTGGCAAATAGGACTCATCAGATTTCAACTGATCTGTTGGTAAGTGCTACATGGAGTATGATTTTTTTTTAAAAATATTTTATTTATTTATCTTTAGAGGGGAAGGGAAGGAGAGAGGGAGAGAAACATCAATGTATGGTTGCCTTTCATGCGTCCCCTGCTGGGAACTGGCCTGCAGGGAACTGGTCTGCAACCCAGGCATGTGCCCTGACTGGGAATCAAACCGCGATTGTCTGGTTTGCAGGCCCGCGCTCAATCCACTGAGCTACACCAGCCAGGGCTGGAGTATGATTTTTTAAAAAAGATTTTATTTCTTAATTTTTAGAGAGGGGAAGGGAGGGAGAAAGAAAGGGAGAGAAACAATGCACTGTTGCCTCTTGTGAGTCCCTCACTGGGACCTGGCCTGCAACTTAGTCTGGGAATCGAACCAGCGACCCTTTGGTTTTCAGACTGGCACTCGATCCACTAAGCTACACCAGTCAGGCCTACATGGAGTATAATATCGATGGTTCTGAAGGCATGTCTAGGGTACTATGAGTGTGTAGTGATGTCCCTCACAGTCTCAGGCTTGGAAAGAGATGTTAGGACACATGACATGTATTTGCAATAGCAGATCTCAGGGCTGCTTTCTTAGGTAGTCTCATCTTTCCTGTTACCACTCTAGCCAAGTTATCATTGTCTTTCTCTCAGACTAGCTCATAGTTTCCCACCTTAATTTCTGTGCAGCAACTCTGATTTTCTTGCTTCCAGTTTGGCTTCCATTCCAGTCTGTATTCCCAATGGCTGCCAGAGTGATCTTTTCTTTCTTTTTTTTTTTTTACACTGTACCAACAAGTATTTATTGTAAGTTAAGCCATGATTCAGAATCCTAGGGTGGAATATACCCAGGTCCCCTTTCACCTCCATGGGAGAAGGATGGAAGACAGAGGACAGGTGGGAAGCAGCCAGTTCAGATCTTTCCAGGAAATGTGCCTTCTGCCCAGTGGTCATCCCAGGATGACACCCAGGATACGGGGCACAGGGACTTATACACACGCTGGTGCCATTCACACATGGAAACATCGCCCCCTTTAGCAGCCATTGCCTTTTCACAGCGGTAAAAGTCCAGGTAGTTCTGCCAGCAGTTTCTGGTCTGGTTCTGGTTGGGGAAACGGTTATCAAAAGGGGCAGTCTTGTAGTTCTTGATTTTGGTCTTGATGTCTTCTGCCATGTTGCTGACTCCTAAAGACACCCATGAAACTGCTCGCAGCTCAATGTGACCCTCAGCAAAGACGCCTCCGTCTGGCCAGAAGTGGAATTTAGTCGGCCCCCAGAGTGATCTTTTCAAAATGTCTATCTAACAAAAACTTTCCCAGCTTTTGAAAACATTTTTTTATAAAGGACAACTTCTCAGCACCCACCTCCCCAGCATCATCTATAGCCATGTTTGGTGTTATTTCCTACTGGAAGGGCCTTTGCACATGCTGCTGCTTCTGTTAGAACACGTGTTCCCTCTGTTTTTGTCTAGTGACTACTTCCTCGTCCTTCAGTTCTCAGCATAAGTCAGGCTCATTTTACATTGATCTGCGACTTCTTGATTGGTTTGTCACCCTTTTTTTTAAAAAAAGATTTATTTATTAGAGAGAGGGGAAGGGAGGGAGAAAGAGAGAGAGAAACACGAATGTGTGGTTGTCTCTCACATGGCTCCCACTGGGGACCTGGCCCACAACCCAGGCATATGACTTGACCTGGAATTGAACCGGTGACCCCTCGGTTCCCAGCCTGTGCTCAATCCACTGAGCTACACCAGCCAGGGCAGTTTGTTACCCTTTTCCACTACACTGTAGCTCTAGAGGAGTAGCAGCTGAATTGGTTTTTATCACCATTGCATCTCTAGTGCCCAGCAATAAATAAACCTAGCTCAATAAATAGTTCTTGAATGAGTAAATGATCTCTAGCAGCCATTAAATAAATATGTTTTCTTTTCCCACCACCTCCTTCGCTTCTACAGTTCTATTCTTTTGGCCTTGTCCTTGCCCACATCTTTTCTGAAGTCAGGCAAGGTGAGGAAAGAAGGTAGAATACAGTCCAACCCTATTTTAAATTTTTCTGGCACAAGGTTTGCTTGACATTGGAGTGATCCATGAATTCAGATTTTTCAGAGTCTTTCTGACCTTTAAATAGTTAAATATAGATAGCTATCTATACAGCTAATTAGACTCTTTGCCCACAAAGACAGAGATTTGCCTGCCCATGCTTTGTAGAGGTGTGATTTTATTTCTTAATTTCTGCCCTAGAGAAGGGCAGCCCTTCTCTAGTGCAGAATTTCTCAAATTCTGAGATAATTGATACAGTGTCTGGTATAGATCACTGCCTATTGTATTGAATAGTGTCCAGTCTGATGTTCAGGCCACTGCTGATCCTTCCCTCCCAGGGCTCCTTCCCTTTCTCTCTCGTCTCTAACTCAGAGGATTAAAGACTCCTTAAGCCATATCTCCTGCCCTGGTTCCTGGTGCTTTTTGGCTCTGCTTTCAGAGTCAGTGGTCCTACCCATCTCTTGACTGTGTGCAGAGGCTGTAGCATTTTGTCCACAGGGTGTTAACAGGTTCTTATGGTAAACACCAGCTTCCTACTTGGTCTTATGTACTGCAGAGAAGAATGCTTCTTCCTCCAGCACTTCTTCCTGAAGTGCTGCCCCAGGTTACTGCCTGGAGATGTTATGGTGGGAATAAGAGGTGGCAGAGCCTTGCTCCCCGGGGTCCAGAGAACTGACAAAGGGAACCATTTCTTGTGAGTCTTAAGGCAAGACACCTGCCTTGCCCATCTCTCAGCTGTCAGGGTGCAGAGCAGGCCTTGGTAACGGTCCCTCATAGATCCCATGCCTTTTATCAGGGTCCCTCTCTAGAAATCTTGGACAGATTCAGAGTGACCAGATCTGGTCCTGTCCTGAGCACTCATTGCAGGCCACATTCTGATCTTTTGATGACAGAAAGGGTTTTTTCTGCTTTCAGAGAACTGTGTCATGCTTGCTGCTCCAGGTGGGACAGTGACAGCTTCCTAAAGAGGTGGCTACAGGAGAGGCCAGGACCTGCTCCTCCATACCCCTGTTAGTCACATGGTATAGCTGACGCCTCCTCAGTTGGGGGACACACTTAGAGTAGTGGCCATAGCAGCCACTTTATATAGGGTGACTTGTCTCTGCTTCATGGGGCTCCAGCACGGGAGCTGCCATAGGGGAGGATCCATGTGATCTTGGGGTCCTGAGGGAGTGTGGAAGTAGGGATGGGAAAGGGGGAGCAATTTTGGAAGCACGCCAGATCGTCAGTTGAAGAATTTGGCACCATCCTGTCCCTGAAGGTGGAAACCTTGGCTTCAAGTTGGATTCCTTTCCACTCTTTCCCCTCATGTCCTAGTTTAATTACATCAAAGCATCCCTTGCATCTGTCCCTTCTTCTTCATTCCCACTGCTTCTGGCCTAGTTTAAACCCTCTCAGTGATTTTCCTGATACCAGGCCCATTTCTCTAATCTAGCTGTGCCACTCCTGCCAGAGTTCTTATCCTATGAAAAGGCCACTCCTGTGTCACTTTCTTTCAACAAAACCAGCAATGAGGACCCTCCCACCCCTATCCCCTGCCGAGTGCCCTGAGAGTCAAGGATCTTGAGCATGGACCAGACCCTTACCTGGCTTTTCACCCCAGCACCTGCCCTGGGTGCTGGTGTCCAGCACTGAGAGCACCTATCTGCATGTGATGTTCTCTCTGCTTAGGATAGCTCTGTCCACTGCCAGACCTCTTGTTAGCCTTTGGTACCCAGCTCCTTGGGTACCTTGATAAAGTCTTTCTTTGTCCTGTCAGTGGGAATGTGTTACTTCTCTCTCAGTACTCTCAGAGCAGGATGTGTTTTTCCCTTTTGCCTAGTACTGCTACTGAGGTTGCGCATGCCACCTCCACCAGAGTGTAAGCTCCCCGAGGGCATTGTTATAGTAAATAGCAACAAGCAAACAGGGCTATGTGCTGAGACACTGACCACACTAGGGCATATTGGTATATGGTGGAGGGGTGGTGTGCTGTTAGTTATTTTTGTCACCAAAAATAACTGGGTTTTGGAGCTGGGGGCCCAGGTCTCCATTTGAGGGATAGTAAGTCAGTCTCTTGAGAGAGTTGGATTTTCAGATCTCCTGTGGTCCACCAAGTGTTCAGCAAGCCTTTGGGACTTTGGGAGCTGTGTCTCAGGGAACTGTCCTAGGCATTAAGCCATAAGGCGAGAGTGCTTCCCAGCATCTGGAAAATTCCCAGCAAAATTGGTTTGCAGGGTCAGCTCCAACTTTTTCTCTTCTCAGCTGGCTCACTGCTGTTCTCTTTGGGTGGGGGTCTCTGGTACCTAGGCATTTGAGCCCAGACCAATCATGGCCGGAAGACCTGTCCGCATAGGAGACCAGCTGGTTCTGGAGGAAGATTATGATGAGACCTACATCCCCAGTGAGCAAGGTAAGAGGCCTGGAGTGATTGTCATAGTTCTTTGAGGGCAGGAATTATCTCTCATTTATTTTTGTCTTCTAATGAAAAGATGGTATATATTCAAGGTTGCTCAGTCTATTTGGGTTAGATAAGTGTCAGCAAACTGTAGCCCATGGGCCTAATCTGTCCCGTTGCTTATTTTTGTAAATAAAGTTTTATTTACAAAACAGCCATGCTTATTTGTTCACATATTAGCTATGGCTGTTTTCATGCTGCAAGGGCAATATTGAGTAGTTGTGACAGAGACCATATGACTGACCCACAAAGCCTAAAGTATTTACAGAAAAAGTGCCTTGATCTTGGATTAGACCAATGATTCATTTTTTTAGGTTTTATTTATTATTTTTAGAGAAAGGGGAAGAGAGGGAGAGAAACATTGATGTGTGAGAGAATCATAGATTGGTTGCCTGTCCCACACACCCCAGCTGGGTACCTGGCCCACAACCCAGGCCTATGCCCTGACCAGGAATCGAACCAGTGACTTTTTGGTTTGCGGGATGACACCCAACCCATTGAGCCACACTAGTCAGGTCTAGGCCAATAGCTAGTTTTAAGTGAAAATATAGTAGGGGATTTTATGAAATACAGTGTATACTGAGGCCAGGGGAAACCTAATTTCTTAAGAACAAACTACAGTGTTTTTTTTTTAAACAACTGCAATAACATTAATAGCAATAATAACATTTATTCACTACTACTATGTGCCATTCTCTGTAGTAAGAACTACAGTATTTCCATTTCAACCCTCATAGTAATTAAGTCACGAGTTAGGTGCTTTTATTATCCTCGTTTTACAGATGAGGGAACCTAGGCCCGGAAAGGTAAGTAACTTCCCTGCAGTCACACAGTTCTAAGTCTTACAGCTAGGACCTGTACCCACGTATTCTTACTAAAGGGCCTGTACTTTGAAGCACTATGACATTTTGGGGGGTGAAGATTCCTTTTAAATTCTCATGAGTTGTGGACCTGGACACACAAATTTTTGCTTATGATTCAGATGGTTTGAGGACCTGCTGGCAGGGGAAAGAACTCTTGCACCTTCAGGAATCTATGGATCTAATATTAAACCCTGGACTTTGCTTATAGCATACACTTTTTGTTGTTTGCCAGGTAGAAATTTTTCATTTTCATGTTAAATGTACGTGTATCAGTCTGTTCTCATATGGCCTCGGAATTTTGTATCGCAGTTAGAAGAGCCTTCCCTACTCCAAGGATAAACGCTTATGTTTTCCTCTAGATTTTTTCCCACACCACTGATGGAATAACTCATCTTTCCCCCACTGGGTGCTGCCTGTGTGTTTGGGTCTACTTTCTCCTCTCTTCCATTGGACTCTTTGTCTGTTCATAGCTAGTATGGTACTGTCAACTACTGGGGCTCAATAATAAATTCTTATATCTGGTAGGGTTGAAATGCTTTCCTTGCTTTTTTTTCCTCAAAGTTTTCTTGGTTATCTTGTTTGTTTTATCTCCCTGTGATCTTCAGAACCACCTTGTCCAGTTCTGGGAACTGTATGTGGGAACTGTTAGGATCTTGGGAAAATTATGTTCAACTTATAAATGAACCTAGAAAGGAGTAACATCTTTATGAAGTTTAGTTTTCATGGCAAAAGAACATTGTATTCCTTTCCATTTGTGTCTTTTTCTATTTCTCAGGAGTGACTTAAATTCTTCTTCATGCAAGTTTTTGGACATTGATTGTTCATTTTATTTCTTAAATATTTTTTCTTAAAAATTTTTTAAAATTACGGTTTACATTCTGTATTTATTCTGCGGTAGTTTCAGACGTACAGCAAAGTGGGTGGACGGTCGTGCACTTTACAGAGCGGTCCCCCACTGCCGTGAGTCCCCACCCGGCTCCACACACAGTTGTCGCAGTGCGGTTGCCTGTGTCTCCCAGGCTGTAATCTGCATTGCTGTGACTCTTCGGTAGTGATCAGTGTGTACTGCTTCGTCCTTTGTAAATGGGTTCTAATGTTTTTAATAAAAACTTTCTTTTGCTCAGTCCAAGTTTACACATTCTAAACTGAAGCCACCATTTTCTCTTCCTGGACTCTGAGGAGCTTCCTAATTAGAATCCCTGCTTATACTGTCTCCTTTTTCCTGTCTGCTGTATTTAGCACAGAGTGTTCTTTCTAAGTGTAAAGCAGAACATATCAACTATTAAATCTTCTGATTTATAAATATCTTATAATAATCCTGATTATTAAAATCTTCCACTGTACTCAGCATAGCACCCTTGGTGGGGTGCATAGAGCTCTGTGTGACCTGGCCCTGCTGCCTGGCAGGCTCACCAGGTACCGCCATCTGCCTCGCTCACTCTCTCAGTCACAGGGCCTTTCCGGCAGTCCCCAAATGGGCCAAGCTGCTTCTTGCCACAGGCCTTTTGAATCGGTTCTTCTTCAGCTTGAGTGCTCTTTCCCCTGCCCTCTGCAGGGCTCCTTTCCGCCTCCAGGTCTCGGTTGTCACCACTCTGAGAGGTTTGCCTTGACCCTTCCTGATACAGTGCGTTCCACCTCGACGTCCTCTATCTCATACCACATTTACTTCCTTCATTATATCTCTCAGAAGCTTTAATTCTTTGTATACTTATCTGTTCACCTCTTTAAAAAAAAGATTTTATTTATTTTATTTTTAGACAGAGGGAAAGGGAGAGAGAAAGAGAGGGAAAGAAACGTCTATGTGTGGTTGCCTCTCGAGTACCCCCTACTGGGGACCTGGCCCCCAACCCAGGCATGTGCCCTTACTTGGAATCGAACCAGTGACCCTTTGGTTTACAGGCTGGTGCTCAATCCATTGAGCCACAGCAGCCAGGGCTCTGTTCACTTTTTTACTGGTCGTTTCCTCTGCTAGGATGCAAGCTGCCCATGGGCAGAGACCATTTCTCTCTTGTTCATGGCACATGATGATTTGTACATAGGAAGCAGTCAAAAACTGGTTGTGAAATCAATGAATAAATTAGTCTCAGGCTAACCAAATTCCAGCTGGCCCTTTGAAAAAGTGCTTTTGTTTCCTAGTCCCCAGGTATGACATCTTCCAAACTCTCTACTGAGGTGACCCATATTGGTGATGGCTCAGGCACTGATGACCCTTGAGGATTTATTTTGTTGTTATTCCTGGGACCTCTGATGACATATTCCAATGCTTTTTTTTTTTCTTTAGATTTTTATTGATTTATCTTTAGAGGGGAGGGGAAGGAGAGAGGGAGAGATTGCCTCTTGTGGGTCCCCTGCTGGGAACTGGCCTACAACCCAGGCATGTGCTCTGACTGGGAATCAAACCACGATCCTTTGGTTCACAGGCCCACACTCAATCTACTGAGCTATACCAGCCAGGGCTCCAATGCTTATTTTACGTATCTTTTTCTTAGGTGAGATAGCTCTTAGTACATGCATCTCCCCTTTTCCTCCAGATCTCTGGGAAGAGAGCATTTCTAAATTCTTGATTCCAGAAGAGTACACAAAAAATATTAGAGTTCATTACATACAGCCAAACTGAAAGGAAGCTCTCTTCATGGAAGAGAGGATTCAGTGAGTGGGGAAGAAGGATGCCTGAGCATCATCCTACTTTCTCAGCTCAGGTATCCGCCGGCCCGCTAAAATGTCACCATTTACTCTGTGCTCTCGTGGCCTCAGTGCACATCTCTCACACAGCACTTGTCACCTGGTTTGTACTCTAATCGTATGTTGGTAAGGTCCCCGAGGAGCTTAAGTGTTTTTGTAGTTTTTCAAATGCGTGTGTTGATTAAGGAGTGCTTGCACTGAGATTTTGCAAATCTTGGAAGAGCTCGTGTCCTGATATGGCTGCCCTCAACCAGGGTGGTTCTAGCTGTGGCTGTTGGGATTCTTCCTGAGGCACCTACTACACTGAAGTCTTGGTCTTTTTTTTTTTTGCCTTTGTTAACTTGGCTTCAGATTATATTCTTGGAGTATGGCCATGGCATGTCTTGATTCAGCTGTACCATTTATAACTGTAATTTAAGAAAATTATATATATTTATTATATAGAACTAATACCTCCTCACTGAAGAAAATTGGAAAGTAAAGGCAGAGTAGAAACATTGTTTTTGGAAAAAACCCTGTTTTTTCTTTACTTTTAACTCAGTGCTTCTGCCACCAGATGTGTGTTTTTCCCCCCTATACCAACCAATTCTCTGACATCAGCTGGATGTCCTACAGTTCAGTTCAGTTCTGAGACTGTTTACGTGGAGTTAGCATCACATCCCACAAGTTAAAGGCTCAGTCCTGCAAGACTGCCCCACTCCAGATGCTCATTGAAAGTCCCAGGTTGTCCCTGATACTTCTGACCAGTTGGCTGTACACCATCATTCCCACGACCCTATCCTCAGGTTTGATAATTTGCTAGAACAAGTCACAGAACTCAGGGGAACACTTATGTTTACCAGTTTATTATATAATAAAGGATATGATAAAGGAGACAGATGAACAGCCAGATGAAGAGATACATGGGATAAAGTCTGAGAGAGTCCCAAGTATAGGAGCTTCTGTCCCCATGGAGTTGGAGGGCACCACCCTACTGGCACCTGAGTGCGTTCATCAGCCTGAAAGCTCTAAGAACCCCATAGTTTAGGGATTTTTGCGGAGACTTCATCATGCAGACATGATCCATTAACTAATTTTCCAGTCTCTCTCCCCGTCCAAAGAATGGGGGTTGAGCCCGAAAGTTCCCAACTTCTAATCATGACTTAATCTTTCTGGTGAGCAGCCCCATCAGGAGCCATCTAGGAACCCACCCAAAGTCACCTCATTGGAACAAAAATGCTTTTATTCCTTGGGAAATAACAAGGGTTTTAGAAGCTCGATTTCAGGAACTGGGTTCAAAGACCAAACATTAATAGGAACTAGGATCAGAGACTAACACGTACACTTCTTATTATTTCACAGATTGATTGTGATTTTTTTCTTTTCATGCACTTCTCACTTCTGTTACTTTTCTACCCTCCTGCCTCTCCTTGCAGAGATTCTCGAATTTGCCAGAGAGATAGGTATTGATCCCATCAAGGAACCGGAACTGATGTGGCTGGCACGGGAGGGCATTGTGGCCCCACTGCCCATGGAGTGGAAACCCTGGTAAGTCAGCGTGGGTGTGGCCCATGGACTTGGCCTGCCAGAGGCAGAGGGGGGTTGACACTGGAGATCAGCTTCAACCTTTCGAACAGTCTGGCCTGCACAGAGTTGGCGGCAGTGATAGGCTGTTCTTCTGCTGGGCTCACTGATGCTTTGGGCCTGAGCATGAGCTGATGTGATGGCCCCCATGAAGGGTTCAGCACTTATACCCAGGGTCCCAGGAGTTGCTGCCCTGGGTCAGGTCCTCTAGCACCAGCATCTGTTTTGAATACACTCACAAGGTGTCTGTGTTATACTTTGTAGACTGATATTGAGACCTCGTCAGCTTGTCCACAATGGATTCTGGTACTAAAGAGGTTTGTGATGAGGCCACAGACTGGTAGGGTTTCAGCTCCCTTGGCAACCCATCCCTGACTTTGAGTAATGTCTTCATGAATAGGTACATATTTGTGGATTTGTTCATATTTTCAGTTTTAGCTCTTTGGATCGTGAGGAACAGAGAGGCACTCAGGTCTCAGGGAAACAGGTTGATGGTGAGGAAACAGACTGGCTGAGGTGGAGAAGCTAAAAGGAGGCGTCACTGTGTCTCCCTCCTGAGGGTGCATCCTCTCCGCCTCTTGCTGACTCTGTTTCCTCTGTTTTGCGTATCTTCTCTGTTCTCCTCATCACCTACACAGAGTTCTCTTTCTAAGCTGTTTTCTTAAAGTGAGTGCCATGAGTTTACTTCCTACTGTAGCATGAGACTTCCCTGTGCTTGTCCTACACTCATCCCCAGATGTCTTAGGGGTCTCTCTTATCCTGGTATTGTGAACTTTTTGTGTGCTAGCTAGAACTATTCTGTTCTTATTCATCTACTTAATGTGTTGGCCACACTTTAAAATGACTGCAGTTGCAGCTTTACTCTTCTCCATTGAAGAACTCGAATCCTTGTAGCTTCTCTCTTGGTGTCTCCCTGTTTTGATCTTTTTACTTGCCTTCCCTTGGACCTTCACCAGCTTCATAATACCTTTCTTTGTGGTAAATCCATCCACAGTGCACACAGTATTCTAGTGCTGAGGACTCCTGTTGTGTTTGTAAGATAATGGTTTCTGTTTTGTTTCCGATATCCATCCTGATGATCACATTTGCCTTATCGAATAATCTCTATCTTCTTTTTCTCTGTTTTTAACTTCAAATATATCTGTGTTGTTTTGCTTTTGGATATGTTATTTTTTAAATTAAAAGCCACATGAGAAATATGATCAGTATAATAATACCTTAATTTACATATACTTAATAAATTGCTGCAGTAATATTAAAAAAAGTGTAAAGAGGATACAGATGGCTAATATATATTTGAAAAGATGCTCAACATCACTAATTATCAAAGAAATGCAAAATACAGCCGCAGTGAGATACCATCTCACATCTGTCAGAATGGCTATCAACAGTAAATCAACAAACCACAAGTGCTGGTGAGGATTTGGAGAAAGGGGAACCCTTTTGCACTGTTAGTGGAAATGCAGATTGGTGTGGCCACTGTGGAAAGCAATATGGGGTTTCCTCAAAATATTAAAAATGGAACTGCCTTTTGACCCAGCAACCCCACTTCTGGGAATATATTTGAAGGAACCTGAAACACTAATTCAAATGAACATAAGCACCCCTATGTTCACAGCAGTGTTATTTGCAATTACCAAGATACGGAAGCAGCCCAAGTGTCCATCAGTAGATGAGTGGATAAAACAACTATGGGACATGTACACAGTGGAATACTACTTGGTCATAAAAACAAAGAAAATTTTATCCTTTGCAACAGTATGGATGAACCCGGAAAACATTATGCTAAGTGAAATAAGCCAGTCAGAGAAAGAGAAATACCATATTATTTCACTCATGTGGAATCAAGTGAACAAACTGAACTAACAAGGAAAATGGGGGCAGACTCACAGATGGAGAGCAGGATGACAGCTAGTGGGGGTGGGGAGGGGTGAGAGGACGGAGGGATTGAGCAAAAAAGGAAAATGGACTCATGGACATGGACAACATTGTGGTGATTGTGGGCGGCAGGGGAGTATGAGGGGACTGAATGGTAATGGAAAAAAAGTACAATAAAGATTAAATTTAAAAATGTCGCCAGATAGCTTCAAAAATTCTCCAAAAATTACTGGAGGGAAAAATTATTCACAATTGAGAAGTAATGGTTTTTATTAAAAATAATCCTATCAGTTAAAAGCTGTATTAAAAATTGTTAATTAAAGTTAAGGATAGATGTGAATTTGCTCAAATTCCACTTTTTATTTATGGAGATGATTATTTTTCTTTTCAACTTATTAATATAGGTTATATTAATGTATTTGCTAATGAGTATGAACTTAGCTGGTAAGGATATATTCTTTAATGTGTAGCTAAATTACATTTGGTAATAATTTAATTGTGATCAATGAGTAGATATTTATATTAATCTGTAGTTTGTGCAATATATGTTGATATTAAGAGATTAAAAAAGTAAAAGAAAAGGTGGATGGAAGGAAGGAAACTGTCGTTAGTTATGGGCCGCCGTGCAGCAGGCTTCGTGCCAGCCATCTCCACCTCCCTGTTGGTGGCAGCCGAGACTCCCTCATCCTGTAAGAAGGGTGTGAAGTACTTCTCATTTTTTAAAATAACAAAAGTCATTAAAATTTATGTATAATGTCACTTTTTACCCTTACCCCCAATCCCAAGAGTAATTAATTGGTGAATTCCTTCCAGTACTTTAAAACACACAGACACAAACATCCCACACATTTTATTTTCTAAACATTAGTGTTATAATGTAGCCACTGCTCCTCTATGCCAGTGTATGAAAGTCTTATCAGCTGCATGCTTTTCCATACATAGATGCAATGTAAATTTTTTAAAATCCCGATTTATTTAGCTACTTACATTGAAGGGTGTTTAGATTTTTTTAGAAATTGACCTTTATGTGTGGTTTTGTTTCTGGATTCTCTGCTCTTTTTTTTTCCTTTTTTTAAAGAGATTTTACTTATTTATTTTTAGAGAGAAAGGGAAGGAGAGAAACATCAATGTGTGGTTGCACTTGTATACCCCCTACCGGGGACCTGGCCCACAGCCCAGGCATGCGCCCTGCCCAGGAACCGAACCAGTGGCCCTCCGATTCACAGGCCTATACTGAGCATTCAGTATCCATTGAGCCACACCAGCCAGGGCTTTTTTTTTTTTTTTAAGTATATTTTGTTGATTGTGCTATTACAATTGTCCCATTTTTTTCTCCTCTTTATCACTGTCCTCCTTGTATCCCCCTTCCCACCAGCATTGTCCACCTTAGTTCATGTCCATAGGTCATACATATAAGTTCTTTAGCTGCTTCATTACCTATACTGTTCTTAACCTCCCCTTGTCTATTTTGTACCTACCATTTATGCTTCTTATTCCCTGTACCTTTTCCTGTATTCTCCCTCCTCAACCTCCTCCCTAATAACCCTTCATGTGATCACCATTTCTATTTTATTTTATTTATTTTATTGATTACGCCATTACAGTTGTTCTATTCCCCCTTCATTCCCCTCCACCCTGCACCCCCCGCCCCCACCATTCCCCCCTTTAGTTTATGACCACATGTCTCAAGTTCTTTAGATTCTGCATTTCCCCTACTATTCTTGCCCTCTCCCCATCTATTTTCTACCTACCATCTATGCTACTTATTTTCTGTACCTTCTCCACCCTTCTCCTCCTACTCCCCTGTTGCTAACCCTCCATGTGATCTTCATTTCTATGTTTCCACTCCTGATCCAGCTATCCTCTTACTTTGCTTTTATTTTAGGTGTGGTTGTTGATAACTGTGAGTTTGCTGTCCTTTCACTGTTCATCTTTTTTATCTTCTTTTTTTTAGATAAGTCCCTTTAACATTTCATATAATAAGGGCTTGATGATGATGAGCTCCTTGAATTTGATCTTATCTGAGAAGCACTTTATCTGTCCTTCCATTCTAAATGAAAGTTTTGCTGGATAGAGCAATCTTGGTTGTAGGTCTTTGGATTTCATGACTTGGAATACTTCTTTCCAGCCCCTTCTTGCCTGTAAGGTCTCTTGAGAAATCAGCTGACATTCTGATGGGAACTCCTTTATAGGTGACTGTCCCCTTATCTCTTGCTGCTTCTAGGATTCTCTCCTTCATTTTAATCTTGGCTAATGTAATAATGATGTGCCTTGGTGTGTTCCTTCTTGGGTCCAACTTCTTTGGGACTCTCTGAGCTTCCTGGATTTCCTGGAAGTCTATTGCCTTTGCCAGATTGGGGAAATTTTTCTTTATTATTTGTTCAGATAAGTGTTCCACTGTGGCTGTTCCTCTTCCCCTTCTGGTACCCCTCTAATTCAGATGTTGGAGCATTTAAAGATGTCCTGGAGGTTCCTAAGTCTCTCCTCATTTTTTCCGAATTCTTGTTTCTTCATTCTTTTCTGTTTGGTCATTTTTTTTCTTCCTTCTGGTCCATTCCCTGGATTTGAGTCCCAGTTTCCTTTCTATCACTATTGGTTTCTTGTGCAATTTCCCTTCATTTCAATTAGTTTAGCCTTCATATGTTCCTCTAATTTGTGACTAAAATCAACCAGTTCTGAGCATCCTGATCACCAGTATTTTGAACTGTGCATCTGAAAGTTTGGCTATTTCTTGGTTGCTTAGAGTTATGGGCTCTGGGGCTTTGAGATCTTCTTGAGCCATTTTTGGTATGTTCTTGCCCGTTAAGTATGAGGAGCCGAGCCTTAGGTGTTCACCAGGGTGGGGCCACCCAGGTCACTGGGTTGTGACGCTGTATGTGGGGGCAGGGTCAGAGCGGGGAAATGGCAGCCCCCTCTGCTGCTTCCCACTGCTGGGGCCTGCTCGGTCTGTCTCACTGCTCACTGCTCACTCCTTTGTTGGTCTATCTGCATGCAAATGTGTGACCATGGTCAGCCTGCTGCCCTGCGCCCTCGCTGGGTCCGCCCATTGCTCACTGGGTCCACTCGTTGCAACCCCACGCCTGGGA